AGAGCGTATAATATAAGGGTTTTAAAAGCCTAACGACGATATTTTAAAATTAATCCCTTATTACTAAAATAAGTTTATCTAGCTATTAGACTTCGAGCTTAGGCTTAGCTTTTTTTTTTATACTTTTAATAATAATTATATAGAGTATACCGCCCTTTACTAACTTTTTTTTATTTTTCTTAGTATCGAGGGAGCTACTAAATAGGCTATTAAAAAGCTCCCTATATAGCTAGTATCCTTAAAAAACCGTATTTTTTAAAAGTTCCCTTTAATACTTATATAAAAAATAGAGGTATTATTAATACTTAAAAAGCTCTTTATAGCGCGAGTATTTTATAAATTAAATAAATAGGAGATTATAAAAAGGGGTATTATATCGGACTTATTTATTATTAATTTTTAAGTAATATTTACTAACTTCTTATTATTTAACGTAGCTAATAGTATATATTAAGGATTAGTATATTTTATTAATATATTTATTAAGCTTTTTAAGTTATATAGCTAGGTATTATTAACGCGTACTATATTTAGCGAGTTTACGTATATTATTAATAATAAAAATAAAGAGACTAATATAGTTTTACTATTAAACTTTATTATATACTAATACTTTAACTTTTTTTATATTTATTAAAAAGCTAACTAACTAAATAGAGAGAAGCTATACTATAGCCGCGTTTATACTATCGGCTATAATTATTAAGAGGACTTTTATATTATTAAAAAGGGTAATATTATAATTTAGATCTAAGAGATCTTTTCTTATATTAATAATTAATACCTAAAGATAATCCCGAAGTATCCCTTTTATAATAATAAAGGTTATACTTAAGATAATAATAAGATAATTATTATAAACGAGGTTATTTTTATTTCTAAGGAGAGTATAGCTAACGTAATTAATAATAATATAGTATACGACTACTTTTCTAACAAGACTATAACCGATTTAAGCTTTAATACCGATATTAAATAGAAGTAGAAGTTTAAAAAGTTTATTAAGCGCCCGGTACTAAATAATTATAAACTCGTTATTTAATAAATATAGCGCTATATATTTAAGGATTTAATCTCCTTAGTATATACTTACCCTATCCGTATAAAGTTAGAGCTTAAGACGTATAGTTAAGAAATATTTAAGGATTAGAATAAGTTCGATATAAAGATTTATAGCTATCTAATTATATACTTTATCAATAGCTTTAGTATATATTATAATTCTTATTATATATTTATAAGTATATATATAATAATTACTAGGCTTTAGGTAAAAGATCGATTCCGTTAGGCTAATATTTTCTTTTTTATACTTAGTCTATACGGTTCGAACTTTAACAATATTATTAAGATATTTTAGTCCCTAGCTAAGCTCGATTATAGTATTAAGTTGTATATTAATAACGAGTACTATATTATAATCGTATTAATTCTTTATTATATTAAGGATATATTATAATAAGATAAGAATAGTAAATTCTAAGGTACTCGAGTAAATAAGTTTTACTACTTCTATTTTATTAGCGATTTATAAAGGAATAGCGATAACCTAGAGTCGGTACTAAATTTTAATATAATTACTTACGAGTACTATTATTATTAATATACAATTATGCGCGAGGATATAAATAATCTTATAACGGCGGCTTTTTATAAGTAGTATAGTAAAGTATAGGGTATTATAAAAAAAATACTTACGTTAGTATTTATTACTTTTATATTAAATTTAATCTTTTTACGCCTTCCAGATCCTACTTATTTCGAATATTAGGGCTTTATTAAGCTAATATATAGTATACTACTCGATAGTATTCTTACTGCGTAGGGGTATAAGGAGTATACTTATATACTACGTATCTAGCCCTTTTTATTAAGTTAGGAGCGCCTATAATTACCGCTTTATTATTTTCGTAATTACTTTTTAATAATAGATACTCGTTAGTTAGTTATTACCCTAGGTTTGTTTTAAAGCTTTTTAATCCCTTATTATATTTACTTTAAATTTATAGATATTATATAAAGCTAGCTTAGTAATATTACTAATAATAATATCGTCGACTTTATAATAAAGGCCTATATGAGGTTAGCTAAGTCGAATAGTATCCTAGTCGGTACTAATATTAATAAAGCCGATCGCGAGAATATAATAAGTATCGTTATTAAGGCTCGTAAGATATATTAATAACTCTACTAAATTACTAGCTAGGCTATTATTAATAACCCCTAAGCGTAGAGTATTACTAGTAGTAGTTACTAAGGCTCGATAATACCGCTATAATAGCCCTTTTATTAACTATAAGTTAGGTTAGGATTAGAATATATATAGCTATTTACCGAGCCCGTTTTATATAATATCTCTTAGTATATAAAATAATAGTCGACCTAGCTACTACCTATCCTTATAATAAAAAATGAGCTTAAGCCTAAGCGAGGACCTATAGTACTTAATAAGAGAGCTAAAGGGTATATATTAAATATAATACGGCTAAATATTTATATAGGTATTTATTACGAGGCTATTACTAAGGAGTTTAAAATACTTATAAATATAAATATATTATTAAGTAAGAATAAGTATAAGTAAGTAAGGGGTATAGTAATATCCTTTAACGTCTATTACCTTATAATATGTTTATTATTAATAGTCGTATAAATAGTTTAAAATAATAATAACCTAAACGAACTATACTAATATTAAGAAGATCTTATTATTAAAAGTTAATATATAGATAACGTAGCGCTTCTTTCTTTATAATACCTTTTATTATGATAATAGTAAGCTTACTCATTAAATATACTAGCTTTATAATAAGGCTTTAATATTATTCAATAGGGTACTACTTCGTATTAATAAAAAGGATATATAACTATAAAAGGATCTTATTAATAAGGATAAACTAGTAGGTATTATTAAAAGAGACGGAGAGTACCGTAATCTTATTATTATTAGTTAAGTTGATAAAGCATAGTACTTAATTAACAAAGGCGAGCTTTTACTTACTAAGGATATAAATATATTATAAATTTTTAAATAAGCCTTATACTTAGTATACGTACAATACTACGCTTATAATAAGATTTAAAATTTTAAATATAAGGCTATTTAGTAATCGAACCGTTTTAGCTTTATAAATAGGTAAGTACTAGCTAGTATTTACTATATTTACTTATTTACTATATTTATTTATTTACTATATTTATTATGTTTATTTAGTTAAGTCTTATACCTAGCGATTCGAAGTATTTTAAGGGCCCCGGCGAGGCCCACGAGATAAGGTTATTAATATTTAGGGCTTAGAGAGGGGTTATTAATATCTACTAAGGGGCCCGAAATAACCTTTTTATCTTTTAATCAATAGATTTAAGTAAATTTATTAATTAGATATTAGATATTATTTTATAGTATTACTCTTAACTAAAGGAAAAAGCTTTAAATACTACGTATTTACGTACTATTAAGATATATAAGGTATAAAATCTAGGAAAATTACTATTATAATATAGGCTATAATTTTAGGTTATTTTTATTATAGTATTAAGGATTTTGAAATACTCTCGATATACCTCTAGGTTTTTTACAAATTCGCGGGATATTTACTATTATTATAGTATTACCGCCCTATCCCTCGTTAACTATATGGGTAGTATTTACAATAGCTTTATATTATTTATAATAAAAGGAATTATTAATATTCTTTTATTTTAGTAATTTTTATTAGTATATCTTTACTCGTAGCGATTACGTTAAGTATATAGATAGCGACTAGTTTATAATAGGCCGTATCGATTATATTTTCGTTTATAAAATATATAATTTGCGCCGTATTTTTATTATTATTATACTAATAGAGATCTTAGATAAGAAGGACTATATACTCGACTTATATAAAGTGCGCTACCTTAAGGATTAACCTATTATTATTAGTATTAATATTATCTAGCTTAAGAAGTTATACTTTATTAAGATCCGTAATTATAGTATCTAGGTTAAGTAGTAGGTTAAGTAGTTATAATATACTTAATACTATATAAGTATATCCCTACTACTATAAGTCCGACTATATACTAATATATTTATATCGTAAGTATTAGTATCGGTATTATACCCTCGCTTACTTTATACGTCCGAGAATATTAAGTAGGTAAGATTATTTATTTCTAATACTTATAACTACGAGAGGCTAAATAGCTTACCCACCTAATACTAAAGAACTTTATAAGTAGTAATAATAGTAGTAGCGCCTTAATACCACGATATCTAAGTAATAAAGTAAGTTAACTATTACGAGCGGCTTTATTTTTTCGTATTAATAGGTCTGTATATAGACTATATATTTATATTATCTTACTCGCTAAACTATTTTTTTAAATTCAATAGGGATGTAGTATTAGAGTTAGGGGTCTAACTTTATAATAGTAGTAGTAGTAGTAGCGTTTAATAGACTCGGGACTTAGAGGTTTAACTTTAGGGATTTTACTTAGAAGTATAAGTAGCTACGATATTTACGTATTTATAGTAATATCGTAATATATATAAGTAGTAATATATTAATATATTTATTTAAATATATTAATATCCGTATACCCCGAGCCCCGGGATTACCCCCCGGTACAGTCCCCCGATACCCTACTTATAACTCTTAAAACTCTTAGCTACTTTTAAACGACTATTACCGCGCGCGTAACTATTATATATATTATTACTATTATAAAATAAGTAATAGTATTTTATTTTATAGTAGTAATATAGGGTTGCGCGACCGTGTTAATGCTTATAATTAATATATTCCCTTATACGCCCCCGGTAAGGTAGTATAAGAAAGGCCGATGGATCTATTTGCGGTAGCTCGTGGCTCGGTTTTGGATAAAGTGTACTAACTCGTTGTTTGTTGGCTCTCGATTTTGCCAATGTATTTGAGAGGGTATGTGTAAGCACCTGAGCATGCATTAGCGAACGTTTCGGACCAAACACGAATCCGCGCCGGGCGATATGGAGATTCTTACCAGAGGTTGATGTGCTCGTCAAATTCCTCGCTCTTCTCGAGCACTTTGGCTATGTCTCGGGTCCATGCCTGCTCTCCATTGTAACCAAATATCGATATAGCACGATTGATCATCCTTCTCGACGATATCTCAGCCAGGTAATAGAACCAACTCTTTTCCTCCTCTGGCTGAATATCATCTTCCAAGATATCTAACGCGCTTGGCTGAGCTGCAGGAGATGCGACTTCAGACGGAGGCGAGGGGAACAAGTCTGGATATCCTAGGCCAGTGATGCCACTTGGTGGCAATGGTATCTCACATCTGAGCTCGCTGAGTGTCGACAGTCAGCTGCCATAGGTTCTCCTTCCATCTTGAGGAGAAGGTTCCTGCTGGACTTACCATTCCGACTTCATGCATGACCAGTAAAGGCGTTGCTCAAGGCGCCGTGTCTTCTGAGAGATACTTTGCCAATTCCGCCTCTGGGCCCTCCGCCAGTATAGGTTCTTGAATTGAACGCTGGCTTGATTGAAGTAGAACCAGCCCTGAAGTGGACGAAGTGAGTACATCTCGAACACTGCACAGAAGAACAGGCATTGAATCTGAAGTAAGGAGGGCTCAAGTAGTCCCAGCCGCTTCTTGGCTGCGAGATAGTAGGCCTGGGCTGTATCTGGATCCGTCGTGGTCGATACTGACGAGCGCATCGATTCGGGCGTACTATTGAAGTTGATCTCAGATTGAAATGGGCTTGCAAGGCAGGCGAGTGCACATGCAATCAGCTCAACGGGAAGCTTCATCAGCATGGTAACGGTCGTGAGAATTTTGAACAGGCCGAGGACTCACGACTAGACACGACGGTCCGTCCCATCGGGGACCGTTCTCTACTGTATCCTTGACGTACGCTTTGAAGTCGGTCACGTCAAGAACTGGATTCTTCACATGCACGTATGCCAAGAACTTCTTGGACAGCACCGTGAAGTCGTCTTCCTGAACTCCCCGCCCTAGGTTCCGACTTCTGACAGGTTGAGATCGATGTGAAGACTCTGCATCACCATCCTCTAACTCCAAAATAAAAGACTCCGTCTCGGGCGCATATCCCCTAAAGATTGGCCATCGCAGAATGGCCTCGCAATTAGACCTAGCAGCGGCAGAGTCTGGGATGTCGAGGCGGATCATGACTTCGTCCTCGGGTAGATCATCAGAAGGATGACTTAGATTCTCGTCAATAGTGACGCTTGTACTAGTTTGAGGCCCATGGATCGATGTTGGCGATAGTGTTGAGGGAATGGGGGGAGCGCTAACTACTTGCGCGGCTGGTAGTTCCGGACGAGTCTCAAGCAGAGAAACAACATGATTGAGGCGGTCCAAAATTGCCAAGCTCGCGGGATCGAATCTGTACTCTAAGTAAGACCGAGCCGGTCTGGAGCATTTCCTCCAGGCACGAAGAGAGCACTCACGTTGAGAAGTCATTCGAGGTGTCGGGGTATGTACATTGTCCGCCGTTTCGCTGGCAAAAGCCGCATGCTGGCCGGACATTGTCACATTTCGTTTTACGGACCCGACAGGGCCCACACGCCGCAACAGCACGCCGTCTCTGGTACATGCCCGAGGTCCGGCGCCGCTTGTTGGACGTTTCAGGCGCCTCATTGCCTGCATCGGACATTGTGGGATGTTCCACAAGGCCTTCTGTGGGGTTGTAGATATACTGATACGGGTGAGAGATCTACCCAGATACCAAATTCGACAATGATTCGTTTTCGACGTGTTTGTTGGCTTGATGGAAATGGGTGACAATTCCCAAATGAGAAGCGCGGGGAGTAGCGGAGTTATGAAGGTGAGGAAAAGCGAAACCGATACCAGGGTCCACCCGACTAAATTAATGGGGATTTTCGTTGCTTTTGGCTAGCTCTCTCGCTGCTTTGAGTTGGGGTTCATTCACTGTGGCGGATGGTCTATAGACCATTTGGTGATACCGAAGGCAGTTTCCGCTTTCCAAGGAGCTTGGCGTCTCATGAGATGAGGTTGTGAAATTTTTGCTTTTATTGATTTTTTGTTGCTTGTTGTGTAGCTTTAGATGGCCATTAAGAACTAGAAAGACCATAGGAGAGGGTTATCAGTCTCGAGTATTATTCAGATTGAATAACTAAACATCCTGTATTCTAGTCTCTGTGATTGTGCACCAAGTTCCAGTCCCTTTAACAGAATTTGACTCTAATTTCGGGACCTCGTATTCATTGGTTTGCGTTACTTTCAAGACATTCTCAACTTTCCTCATTAACCTAGGCAGGATATGTAAAAACCAAAAGCTATTTTGGTGGGCAGGTCTCTTGAGGCCTCCCCGGGGGTATCGGTTGGATCTCCGCGTGCTCAACGGTAACGGCTGTGACGATGTCCATCTGAATATACGGACCTTCCACAATGACTGGTAATGTATGATCGTGCACTTCAACCGCGCTCACTCTAGGCGTCTCGTGCATGTTGGCGTACGATCTTCCCCAGCCTCTCTGCCCGCCATGTTTCCACCACCACCATTCCTTGCGACCGCCGCTGGGAACAATACTTGGCGCAGGCACTCTTCTACTAACAGGACCACTGATGATTACAGTGTGTCCATAATCTCGTATTGGTGTTCTGACAAAGGCGAACTGGTCCAAGCCCGTATTATGTGCGTCTTGTGGCTCGCTAAACACAATGGTTGTTATCCATAGTATTGAGTTGAAGAGCCCGTTTGCAGCCAAGATGGACCCCGCGAAAGCAAAGTATAATATTCCAAGGTCAATGCCCAGTAGGGAAGTAATGCGGCCGATGATTAAAGGCGTGCTGCAAGCGACGTATACGAAAGGGTACGCAAGAAAGGCTGGGTGGTAGCCTGAGGGCCGTCGAACTTCCGGGCTATGACCGGGTTCGAACCCTGATTCGGAAGCTTCGCTTTGTGACGCTCTCTTTTCCGGCAGGTGACGACAACTTCGTTTTTGACGCCATAGAGTAAAGAAGACGAAGGAATAGAGGCTCAGTGTGAGGGCGATGGAGACGATGACCCAGAAATAATGAGCCCAAAACCGCCACGATTCATACGATGTAGAAATCCAACACCTGTACCGATGTTGAATTAGTGTGAGAACTCTTGGGAGCCGCAGCTGCTATGATCAAAGCAAGGGAGTGCTAGATCTTATTTACCAGACATTGGCCCTCATGAAGAAAGACTCCTGAGGAACTGCTGGGTGGATCTCCGAAAATATTACGCCTGCTCCGTTGATGCTAAAGTCAAATATCCAGAGGAACCCTATCGAAGTATAGATGGTCCACGGTGGTGGCTTATAACCCAAGCCTACTGTCAAAAACGTGTTAATCGAAATAACAGCCAGGAATAGGCTTGCTGCCAAGTTACTGGTCGACCCCAGCCAGCCCTGAGCCCAGCAGACCGATGAAGGTGCAAAGATGCCGTCAGCTGAGACCCAGGATATACTGAGTGCGTAGGCAACAGCCTCCATCATGTCTGCTAGCAGGAGGTTATAAATGAGAATGGGGAAAGGATTACGGGCTTCCTCAACCTCTTGCTCTTCTCGATTCCTGGGAGCACTAGCAGCCTCTACCGCTTGCTCTTGTGACGTTGCTAGTCTATCGAGCTCCTCAATCCGGGCAAATCCGCCAGTGCCCGCACAAGGAGCATCTAGCCCTAGAGAGAGGTCCGGTAGATCGGTAACATCGGCATCTTGTGGTCGTGTACTTCGTTGCCTGGGGGCCGGGTGAGTTTTCCGATATGCCAGTAACTTGTATGTGATGAAGAGCCAGAGTCCCGTTGTGGCTATGGCTGAGAGGAACGAGAAGATAGTGAGTACAATTAGTCCACGGCGGTGATAGTCCGGAAGTGGTGCCAGCGTCCCCCGTTGTGCCGCGGCTGACATGACAGTCTGACTTCTCCAAAGAAGAAGGCCGTCGGTCAGGCTGTATCCCCTGGGCAGAATCTACGTGCACCCGCCACGTGGGACACATGAACATATATGTTCCTGTTTAGCTGGGCCTGACCTTCCCCTCAAATCCTCTCCAAAGTCAAAAGGAACACTTGACTCGTGCGTTACATTGATGCTCAAAGGCCCGTGGTCGAGAATGTCGAATTCGAGGGCTTCGCAGTCCATGGAGGAGGTTAAAGCCGAAACTCTGTTCGACAAACGCCAATAAGGATAGTCTGTTCTGTGCGAGCCTACCCAACTTACATTGTTACAAACTCTAAGCCCCGTGGCATATCCCTGGGGTGTTGTTTCACAGAACCTGATCTCGCGCTATGTAGTGCGAATCACAACCCAAATACAGGTTCTTCGCCAATGACGGAAGACTAAAACAGGCTGGAAGGCAGAAAATTGGACCACTTGTAGATCTGTTCTGTGGTGCATCTCGAAGTCGATGAATAAGTCGCATGGACCACATCCGCGGAGATACGCGCCGCTCGGTAGACATGGGTTCCCAAGTGTTGGTATGCGTGGTGCCTGAACCTGACGTCCTCGTGGCATGATAAGCATCATTCTTGATACACAAGATGGAATTGCTTGACTAGTGAATTTTCGATATGTGATCCGGGTGATCCGGTATTCCCAATAGCAGCATTACTCTAGTGAAGAATGGAGAAACAGATGTGCGTTCATGAGTCTCATACTGTCCGCTGATGTGCCTTTCTAGCCTGCTTATGCCAACACGATCCCCTGACATTGAAGACCCTTCATATTCTTTTTGATAGCCCGGAATCCAAACCATGTCATCGTAATACCAGTGAGAAAGATTGCAGACGAAGTCAAGGCCACCCATATCACGCTTTGCACGTAGCCCTTTGTCCAACCTCTTCTCGCTGCGCTCTGTAAATCATCGACATTCAACATGTCGACTCCCTCGCTTGTCAACACTTCCCAGACGTAATCGCGGTAAGAGATTGGCCAGCTTGGCAGGTCCCAATACCGAGATTTGAGGCCTGACCACTTTGCAGTACTGATCTGCTTCCGTAGCTTTGCAAGTTGCTCATTACTGAAGCCGGTGCGGACTGATCCGATACTTTGTTGAAATGATACGGATGTGTAATAGGTGTCTTCCTCATGCCACAGCTGAGAGGTAAAGTAGCCATACTCATTATACTGGCGCCAATTATCCTTGGGAAGTTGGTCCAACGGCGCGTCGAGGAATGTGTCGTGATACTGATGATAGAGCTCATTCGTTGGCCAGTGGTTTATCATGCGATCTTCCATAAGATTGCCCGTACCCACGACGGTGACAGGACCCGGCCATATATCTTGCCTGAGTCTGAAGCCCGGCTCGGTATGTATTACCTCGTAGCGTGTCAGGAAGAGCTTTTCCCGCAGGGATCCAAGCTGCTCCATTACCACTGGCCACGTCTTATACGGATCACTCTTGATGTCCAGCAGCAAGACTATCGTGATGTTCGGTTGACTTCGGAAAGCACCCTGCGGCCGATCTGTTCGGCTGAAGTTCGACCACTGCTCTGGAGGATTCATGGTATCGAGAATCTTCATTAAAGGATCAAGGTACATGGACCGCAAAGTTTTCTTGGAGGACAGTTCATGTCTGTCATGGCCAACAAGCAACTCGGAACCATCGTCGCTCAGCCAGATGTCCGCTTCCACGCCGGTACAGCCTGCTGCGAGGGCCGAGTAAAGGGGGTACGGCCTCCAGTAATCATTGTGAGAATGACACATGATTGGGATGACTGAGCGAGAAAAGTCCTCCAGCCATCTTGAGAGACCATCAACTGGCTGGCCATTCGTTGTGATCGGGTTGTTGGAGATGAAGTTTTGGGAAGCCGCGTCACTCAAAGCTTGAGGCTGTAGAACAAATACGAAGACATACAACAAAGTGCTGCAGAAGAATGAGTTCCCTCCACGTCGGGTTGAAAGATGATGAGTTAGCAAAGAGAACCTACATGAGAATAGAACATGCGATAGTTGCTACCACTCCCAAGAATAGAAGCTCTCGGAGGAGTGATGGCTTTCGCCACCGGAGTCGATGTGCAGACCTGATGCACTTTTGCAGAACAGACTTCAAGCAATCTACCTCAATCAATTTCGTTGGCTCAGTTTGTGATGATCGCGAGCTGTCCATGGGGGGTCTCATCGTTGTGTTGTTACTACTGCCTGGCGAATGATCTTCCGCCGAATGCTCTGTCACTTGTTCTCTGGGAACCGAAACTTTGAACCGGTCCATAGCTCTGGCCAATTCACAGAAATGCCGTAGATGAATGTGTTACAATGCAGAATTGATTCGGCTGACCAAGGGGTTTCCAGTGCCTTTATCTTTGGAATTTTGTTTGCCTTGGTCTAGGTAACACCAAAAGCTTAGCCACACAGTGGTTCCAAACCTCCAACCTCAATACGACCCGGTTATTAATTAAAATTGGGAGAAGCAAACGGAAGTAATGTTGGAGCAAACGGCGATTTGAAACCCCGTTGCTGCCTTGTTTGCTCACTGCGCACAGTCGTTTTCGTCATCAGAGTCAACCTGGTGCATCGCCCGAGCTCTTCGTTGGACCCAAGCTTCACAGCCGATCTCTTCGTACTTTGGCTTCTCCCCTTCCTTGACGCAGGTGTCGATCACGCCGCAGCTTTCATGCAGGCCGAAGCCAAAGAAGAAGGGCATACTGATTCGCTCTTCTCCACTCAAGTTCTGGGCTCGATGTACTGTGCTGACGTAGAGATCATTCGTGATGCGCTGCAGGTAGTCGGCAATGTTGACGACAAACGTCCCAGGGATAGGTGCGGCCCTGATCCATTGCCCCTGGCGGTTTAGTACCTGCAAGCCCCCAACCGAGTCTTGCCATAGAATGGTAAAAAGCTGAAAGTCTGTGTGCGATCCTATGGAAACTGTCTTGTTGAAGTCTGAATCCACGGTGGCCGAGGAACTGAGAGGTGGGTAGTAGTTCAGCGCCAGCGCAGCATCAGGGTACGCGAATTTGGCATCAAAGTGATCCTCAGGTAGATCAAGCGATAGCGCAAAGGAGCGAACCAGGACGCGAGCGAGTTTCAAACAGGATTGCCAATATAGAATGATGGCTTCTTTGAAGTGCGGCTGATTGGCCGTGCCATCCCAGTGGAAGTCCTCAATCCGCAAAAGCTTCCTCGCCTCCGCAGGAATAGCATTGACGTCGACCACATCAGGGTCGTGGCGAGGGTCGTACGTCCAGCTAAATGACTCGCGGACATCGACGCTCTCTGACTTGTTGATTCGCTGAGATCCAGGCGGTTTGTACCCGTTGAAGTAGCGACTCTTCCCAACCCATGAGCGCATCTTTGTCTCTTCATCCTGGCGGAAGTACTCTAGGCAGGCTGTATGGGCTGAATCAGTGACTGAAGACGCGATGCCATGGTTGATCAGGTAGAAGAAGCCGGATGTCGTGGCAGCGTTGCGAATCTGCTGAGCCACAGTCTTCCGGTCCTTAAGTTCAGGGCTAAATGCGAGCGAGATATCGATGACTGGGATCTCTGTAGGAAGGGCATCGCGGAGCGGAGTCCGAAGGATGCGGCGGGTTACCGGTCCGTTCCCGGAGGCGAAACGCAGGAGGGTCGTCCCCGGATCAGATGCAAGATTTACAACGCCCATTGTGGGCTAATTAATCATTGAAGACTTGTTGGCACTGGGAAACGGCTACGTCGAGTCAGGGCAAATTGTGTCCGTCGTTCAAGTCAAGAGATGGTTTAATAAGATCAAGAGGATAATTCAGGCAATTTAAACAGCTGAAGTATGCGGGGCGATACAGGCGATAAGGAAATGGTAGACACAGAGGCGGGGGAACTGGGCTTTGTGTCATTGGCTTGAGATGATGTTGCTGGTGATTATCGTCGGAGGTGGCCGACAAGCTCCAGTTCCAAACCCTTAGACCTTAATGGGAGCACGTGGCAGCCCGATGTTATTGGGAATAGGTCGGTTATTCATATGTCTACCTAAGTAGCGAAATTCGCCATGAGCTCGAAGCATGCCGGCCCGAGTTCGGCCACGTTCATGTAAGTTTGCGTTGCTTCCTCAAGTCGAGATGGTTGATTGATCATCTTATTCATTCGGTCAACATGCCTCACATCATGGTTTGGGAAAAAAATATGAGGTCCTTCTCGACTCCTTCTAAAAGACCTGTAGACAAGCTTGTCTCTGACGTGGAGAATAGGGAGCGTTCGATGGTTCATCTTACTCAGTATCATTCTCCAGGTCTATCTACGCCTTAGCAGCCCATGTAAACGGCTAGTTAAGGACCAAAGATTAGTCCTCATCGTTTCGTATCACAAGCAAGAAAAGGGACGTAAGGGAGCAAACCATTGGCGTAAAGGGAATAATTATCAGCATTCTGCAGAGCCCGTTCCGGGGGTAATGCGACGCTGGCGTTGTAAGCGTAAGCGTAGTCATCCGTGTGAGGAGCATAAACTGCCTCGCAGTGCGTGGTTTCGTGGATCGTAGTCGTAGCTTGACACTGTCGGTGGCATCCTACAGGGAGTGGCGGCAGGCCAAAGAAGAGCGGGCACATAACCATTGTGTTGACGTCCCAGGCAGTGTAAGCATTGAGAGGGCCGTCGAGCTCGCAAACGCCGTAGTAATCGTAACAGAAGTACCGAGACACTCCTGAAGTAGTTGAGCTACACTCCTGCGCGACGTTACGAAGCCGAGTGACGACAATGTTGCGGGTTTCTGATGAGTTGGTGCCGAAATACTCGACAAACCGCTGAGAGGACGGGTTAGCTGCATCCGCTGCGGCAGCGAGGGCGAGGGCCTGACAGTTGGCCAGGGCTTTGGTGCTGGCGTCCAATGTTGTCGCATTGCATCCTGGCTGTAAGTTGGTGCGCTCTTTGAGCGCCGCAGTTACCAATGACTTTGCGGCAGCGTCTGCGTCAACGTCAACTTGGATGGTGTTCGACTTGAAAGCCACGGCAGGTTGCGAGAAGTCTGTAGCCGGCGCTAGAGCAATCGGGATTATGCCTTCAGCGGTGATAGAGTAGGTGCCAGATTGCGTAAACTGATGAACCTTTGCTGCGTCGATGGAGACCGTCACTGAACCCCCAGCTGGAAGCGACTCAAAATGAATTGCCTTCAGCGCATCGTACTGAATGCTCGGCTCAATGCCCCTAAAAGAGACCGCGTTCCCTGCTGGCGCGTGAGCTACGGGCATTTCGTCACCGTGGCGCTACTGACCTGACTCGTCAACGATGGACACACGCTGGACAGGAAGCTTGTCGTCCAAGATGGTGCCGACCTTGAGCAGGTTGAGATCTAAGCTGCCGGTGTTCTTGAAGGTGGCGGAAACCTCGGCGCCAGAGTCGGATACCACAGGTGTGAGGGTTACCTCCAGTGTTGAGTCCCGCTTGGAGTAACGGATACCGTGAGCGTTGAGATGACCGCTGGCGATGGCCGCCAAAGGCGCGAGTGCAAGGACCTTTCGCCACAACATCTCGAGAACTGCAGCGGCTCAAGATAAAAACGAGGTTAACAGGAATCGCCACCGCCTGTGGTGCTATGGTCTTTTTAAGCTGTCATTTGATATGAGATAACTCTGAGCCCAAGAGCCCAAGGGCCCAAAAGCATATGCATCTCTGCAAATCCCCTTAATCAATCTTGGCTAGAAGCCCGTATTGATATGCATTGCCGGGATAGACAAGATATAAATGCTCTGACTTGGCAGCCAAAACTCGTATTCGACCAGGATTGAAATGTCGAAAATGGCAGGAGGTTTTGCCGGCATTCTCAAGGTAACATCGGCCCTTGAGGTGGGCCATGGCAGAACAGAACACAAAGCTTCACGTTCCCATGACAGAGCGTGCGCAGAGAACTTGACATCTCCAGACTCAAAGTGACATGAATCATCAGACTTGATATTCTGGGCTGTGTGCCGAGTCCCGTTTCAATTGGCCCGACGGAGCAAATTGTGAGGCTGTACGGAGACGGCGGCGAGGATCAAAAGCCGGTCGATGGGTTCCTTTTACTCGCATTCACGACTGTGTCAACGCAAGTATGTTGAACGCTCAACCCTCTTGTCAAAAGCCTAGTATACTCTGAGCTGGATTAGTATAGAGCCAAAATGACCGACTTAATGAGCCTATACTTGCAGATGACCAGGTGAACGAATGCCCGTCAACTCGCAACGTCACTCTCCCCACCGAAGTAGTTACAAAAGCAGCGGCCTCTTTACAGCGCTCTTTGTGCATGAGCCCCGAGGTGAACCGGCCGGAACGCGGAGATAAACCTACCCAACAGCCTGTGTCAGCCGGGGAGTGTCGGCCAACTTGTTCCTTCCATTCTCCACTTCCCCCACTGCATCAACATCGTGACAATTAGTGGAGTCGAGATTGTGGCTTCTTCAGTGTTTCTTAGTGCAGGATTGGTAGAATGGCTTGCTCACTGGTTTTCACATCCCTAGGGCGGATGATAACGCATCTGATTCTTCATGGCTGGTGCGGCCCGCGATTCCGCATCATTGCCATGAGTGATTTATCAGCCTCCAGATCTCATAAATACATCGACTGACCCCTTGACTGCTGTTCTCTCCTGTGCTCCATGCAAGCCTTACCAGCAACTTCCACTCTTGAACACACCATCTCCGACTCCAGAATGTCTGCCGAGATCTCGACCCTTCGCTGGGGCATCATCGCCACCGGCCTGATCTCCTCATGGTTCGTCGAGGATCTGGTACTTGAACGCTCGAACGCGAGGGCCAAGCACATTGTTCAGTCCATCGGATCATCATCACTTGAGAAGGGCAAGGCGTTTGTCGAGAAGCATCTCCCAGGGAAAACACCCACAGTTTATGGTAGCTATGCTGAGGTCTACAACGATCCTAACGTCGACGTCATCTATATCGGCACACCACACGCATTCCATAAGCAAAACTGCCTCGACGCCATCAACGCGGGCAAGCATGTACTATGCGAAAAGGCCTTCACCATCACAGCCAAGGAGGCGCGGGAGGTGTTTGAGGCCGCGAAGAAGAAGGGTGTTTTCGTCATGGAGGCAATGTGGACGCGTTTCTTCCCCCTCACAAGATCTCTCCTGAACGTCTTGCACTCGCAAAAGCTGATTGGCGATATTCACCGGGTCTTCTGCGACTTTGCCATGAACATGAACCTCGCATCTCTGGGCCCGGACTCGCGCCTGAAGAATCCGGCGCTAGGTGCAGGAAGTCTTCTCGACATTGGCGTGTACAGCTTGACCTTTACGATTCTGGGACTGGACCCCGGCGTTGGAGATAAAGCTGAAAAGCCCAAAATCTCGGCGACACAAACCCTCTCAGACGATATCGACGTTGCAACATCGGCTCTTCTTCTCTACCCCAGTGGCAAGCAAGGTATCCTGACAGCTTCGACGCAGGTCAAGACACCACCAGGATTCTGCAGGATTGAGGGAAGCAACGGATACGTCATTGTCGAGGGCATCGCGACTTCAGTTCCCGGCTCTTTCACAGTGTACTCTTCCAAGGCTTCTGGCGAGGGATGGGCCGACTCTGCGACGGAGGGTTTGAAGTCAAAGAAGTTTGACTTCGAGCGACCAGGTAAAGGCTTCTACTGGGAAGCGGACGCGGTGGCGCTGGATATTGCTGCTGGGCGCACAGAAAGCGAGATCATGCCCTGGGCAGAGACTGTCCGTGTCATGGAGATTTTGGATGAGATTAGGAGACAGGGCGGCGCCAAGTTCCCTCAAGATGATCAGTAAAGGGCTTCGAGTGAAATGAAAGTAGTGGATATCACAAGAACCTTCTTTGAAATGCACAAAGTCTTCCAAGTTTGTCATCATTACGCAGGTACCAGTAAGAGCTTTGACGGCGAACCTCAATAATAACTCCGGGATTCGTCTCTCGTCTACATCCTTTCTCTGAAGTTAGTCCAAGAACCTACTACCACGGACCGGCCTACATAGACTAATAAGCCTCCGGCAAATACGACAGCAAGATAAAGTCCCGATAAGGCAGTCGGCCCAAGAGACTGCAGCATTTGACCGCCGATTGGCACTGTTGAGAGAAGCGAGAAGCTTATGACAAAGTTCATTGTCCCTAGGCTGGTCAGGAAATCAAGAGCTGTGGTAAAACTTGGTAGTAACGTACCATAGTATCTTCCATAGTCTTTCAGCTCACAAGTCTTCGCCACACAGGCTAGCACCCACAAGGTCAGTTAGCGATAGGATACGGCAACGTATGCAACAAGTTATCAACTCGAAGTGGATCAACTTACCAGGCGCAAGTGACAAGAATGATCCGGTGCCAAACCCCCATAAAGCCGAGAAAGCATACAAGGCTTCGATTCGAGTCGACCCAAACGCAGTAAGCGTTGCAGCGGTGCAGATGATCGTGAAAACAATCATGACCAGGAGGATGTTGTAATGTCCCAGGCGATCACCTACCACGCCAGGAAGAATACGCCCAAGAGACGAAACGCCGTTCAGGATAGCTAGCATGTTGAATCCATGCTCTATAGGAAGTCCCGATAAAGCCACCAAGGTTGGAAGAATTGCAGTTGCACCAAAAATGACGAACTCGAGAAGCGCTATGGCGCCGCAGACGAGCGAGAAAGGTAATGAATGGAAGGCAGAAAAGCCCATAACAGCCATTTTCCTACTCTTTTTGGTAGACA